AGCTGAAGGAGGCTTGTCTTAGGCCATCTGGATTTCTTCAGCTGGGCTGGCTCAGACTGACTGCCACCTCCATTGTTTCCTTAGGCTAGAAGGGAAAGGAAATTCTTTGATCTCCTGTAAGAACAAATAAACTCTTTTCCCTCTTTTGGTACCTGCTGTATCAAGCTCAAATAAAGATCTTTGCCTTGGCAGGCAAAGCAAGGCTTCTAAGCAACAGTCAATTCCCGGAACGGCCTGAAAGGATGAAAGCACTTCTCTATGTATTTGGATACAGAGTACGACTACTAAATCCCAGTACCGCTACTGTGATAAGGGTGCAGTTCATTCCAGCTTAAGCTCTTTCTTTAAATTCTTAACTGTCTTACTCTTTTTAACAGGAACTTAGAATCCAGCTATTAGCTAGATGCCTCTCAAGTGAATAACTTTATTCCAACATGAATACAGCACCCCTTTTGACACCTGACTGGATTTTCAAATGTGGTTTTTTTTCCTGACTGACCTAAGGATGGGAAGTGCAATTAAGTCTATACTACCCCACTTGCTGCATTTCTGGTTCTGAAAGAGCTCTGATACTATAAAAATACATGCTATAAGCATAGAAGCAGAATAGGCATAAATGAAGGGGAGGACTCAGATTTACTTATCACATTTAACTTACATACAAGCAAGAGATGCACAGTTGCACCTGACACCATTAGCTTAGTACTTGGTTCTTTCCAGTGAAAAGTGACAGACAGCATACCTTCACTGTCTTTTAAAATTTTTCATTTTGAAGATAGCAACACTTTACTTCGTAATTAAGTACAGCCACCATAAGAATGCAGCAGAAATAAAAATAATCTTTTTTTCTAGAAAAACCTTAAATAATAAATTTACCACATCTATAGAAAACTAGAAGTACTGAAGCAAATTATAACATATATGCCATTATGCAAAGTAGAATTTTCACAGAAATTGGTGTTTGAGATGCTGCATAGTACCAAGAGGTTTCAAACCCTGCAAACTAAACATCACCTATCAGCTACTGCCATTATATGGAAGGTTTGCAGGTGCTGGATTGCAGAATGTGCCTGGATTCTTGCCCAGATGAGACACAGATGTTTTTAATTTCCCTCACCAGAAACACCTCTCCTTCCAGCAGAGGACAACAGTCAAGAGGGAGAATGACATCATCAACTGACACCAGAAGAGAATTTGTAAAGATTCCGGTCTAGAAGGTACTAGCTGTTAGTAGGAGCAGTAAGCCCCCAAGGCAACTACATTGTATTTTCAACTGTTTGGGATAGCTTCAGACACTAAACCAACAGGTGCCTGGGTGGACAGATACATAGGCAAATAATCCTCAGCCCACCTCTTCTGGAGCTGAATGCCAACATTGCATTCATGCTGCAACTTACCTAAAACTGATATGCAAAAAGTTATTCAGCCACAGTATGAAAATGAGCCCTGTAAAAGTATAGAGGAAAGTTTCCCCACTTCCAGATAGATCCCTATTCAGGGCTCTGTCCGGAAGAATTCCATGCGATATGGTCCTGATGAGAAGGAGGGTCCAGGAGAGCCGCTTGATTTTCAAGAATGGTCCATCCTTACATGCAGGAAATAAAGAAAAGGTGGAAGGAAGTCTGCATGCCTGAAATTGGAGCTTCTTACAAAACTCAAGAGGCAGAAGCAGGGAAGAATACAGAGAAACTGTCCTAGCATGCACAGATAGGGCTAGGAAAGCCAAAACCCATTGAGGTAAATCTGGTGAGGAGTATGACAAGCAAAACTAAAACCTACAGGCGTTATCAGCAGCAAAAGGAAAACTAGGGAAAATGTGGGCCCACTGCTAAATGGGGCACGGGAACTGGAGACAAAAGGACATGGAAAAGGCTGAGGTACTCAATGCTTCTTCACCATGGCCTTTAGTGATAAGACTGGACTTTAGCAATGCTAGGTCCCTGAGACCACTAGAAAGTCTGGAGCAAGGAAAGCGTACCCTTGGTGGAAGAGGATGAGTTAGGGAATGGTTATACAAACTGGACATACACAAGTCCATGGTGCTTGACTGGATGCACCCACAACTGGCTGATGTCATTGCAAGATCACTCTCAATTATCTTGGAAAGGTCACAGTGAGCAGAAGAGGTTCTGAGGATTGGAAGAAAGCCAAGGTCACCCATGTCTTCAGGAAGGAAGATTCAGAAAACACACATCAGTCAACCTCACCTCCATCCCTGGGAAGCTGATGGAGCAAATAATCCTGGAAACCACTTCCAGACACATGATGGACAGTAAGATAGCAGTCAGCATAGATTTATGAAGGCAAGATCATGCCTGACCAACCTGATAGCCTTCTACAACGCGGTGTCTAGCCTGCTGGATGAGGGGAGAACAGTGGATGATGTCTACCTTTACTTTAGAAAGGCTTCTGACAGTATCCCAAAACACCGTTACCCATAAGCTGACAAAGTACAGACTAGATAAGTGGACAGAGAGATCGAAAAATGGCTGAAGGGCCAGGCCCAGAGGGTTGCAATCAGTGGCAAAAAGTCCAGTTGGACGCCAGTCACTAGTGGTGTACCCCAGGGGTCAATAGTGGGGCCAGTACTGTTTACCATTTTCATTAATGGCCTTGATGATAGAACAGAATATGCCTTCAACAAGTTTGCAGATCATACAAGACTGTGAGGAGTGCTTGACACACCAGGTGGTTGTGCTGCTACCATTCAGACGGATCTCAACAGACTGGAGAAATAGGCAAACAGGACTCTCACAATGTTCAATAAAGGCAAATGCCAAATCCTGCACCCAGGGAGGAGAAAGTCCATAGACCAGAACAGGCCAGGGACAAACCTGCTGGAAAGCAGTTTTGCAGAAAAGAACCCAGCACTCCTGGTGGACACCAAACTGACCATAAACCAGCAATGTGCCTTTTCAGCAAAGAAGGCCAACAGCATCCTGGGTTGCATTAGGAAGAGTGCTGTCAGCAGGCTGAGGGAGGTGATCCCTCCTATGAGGAGAGGCTGAAAGAGCTGGGACTGTTCTGCTTGGAGAAGAAAAGGCTCAGGGGGATCTCACCAATGTGTAGAAATATCTGATGGAGCCAGGGAAAGGGAGAGTAAGGAAGTCAGACTCTTCTCAGTGGCATCCAGCAATGGGGCAAGACATAATGGGTGCAAACTGAATACAGAAAAGTCCATTTAAACCCAAGAAGAAACTTATACTCTAAGAATGCTCAAACACTGGAACAGGTTTGTAGGTTGTAGAGATACCCAAAGCCTGACTGGACACAAGTCCGAACAACCTGCTTTAGGTGACTGTTTTAAGCAGGGAGGTTGGACTAGATTATCTCCAGTGGTCCCTTCCCGATCTCAATAATTGTGTACTCAAAGCACAGGAAAAAATTCATTTGAGAAAGGCCATTCCAAAAACCAGGAGAATTAATGCAACATTCTTATTTATGGATTTAATTTTTATGATTTCTCACCTTTTTTAATAAATGCAATTTTTCTACCTCTCCCATTTTATATACCATTCCCAGTCCACCATAGAGGTGGTGTTTTTTTGGCAGGTTTTTTGTTTGTTTTAAAGTTAACACCATTTATAGTCACATTACAGATAACTGAAAACTGACTGGAAAAAAACCCCATTTATTCTTTGATAACTAGCTCTATGATTTACTGAGCACATTTTTAGAAATTCAAATACCAAATACATGCACCGCAGTTGGCATATACAAATGATATGCACAATTATAACATGCAAAAATAGTCATCCTCTTCGAGACAAAAATCAAAATGTGTAATCTTCCTTCAAATTTGTTCCTCAGTTTTTCCAATTTCAGAGGGAACAGCCACCATTAGTAATGAAAACCAAAATGAAAAAACCAGAGAATTCTCTTCTCTATTCCTGTAAAGTGACAGTGTCAGGCTGATCCTTAACTGCAGCCGAAACTTCTGGAAGTCTTCACCCTGCAGCTATCCACTTAATAGTGAAACTTAAGTTTTGTGTCTCTCCCAGCAAATACACACTACATATGAAGCTTGTTTAATTATGTCATTCCCTTGATATGCCCACACCTCACTTGGTATCATTTCACAATGCTAGACTCTAGATTGATGTAGAAACTGACAGCCTATATCTTGTATAGATATTAAAATACAGAATTACAGTGAATGAATCCTAAAATGCATACTAATGACAGAAATAAATACACACTACACAAAGATTAAATTATCTTTCATTTATTTGTACAATGTTTTTGTCTTTCGTGTGAATTTGTGGTCCTAATACCTGCTCCATTTTGGAAGGAATTTTTCCTCTATAAAGCTGCATCTACATCTGGCGGGTACCTTTAACTCAGCTCTCAGATTAGTGACCAGAACTATGTCTGAAGCACAAACTAATGGTTGAGATGAGACAATAACCCCACAAAGCTCCTCCCTTTCAAAACAGTGCAGGCATTAGGACCACAAATTCAGATGAAACGAGTTTTGAAGGACTACATTCGATATTTCTAACTTGAAATGTGATCCACTCTCTGCCTTGTACCATACCTCAAGCCTGTTTCTATCCAGGAATTCTTCACGTTGGCTAGGGAAGTGTGAGAGATTCATACATAGAAGACTGATCTTAAAAACCTGCTACCAGGAGCAACAAAAACTCTAATTAAACTAGTTTCTACTCTTAACTTTCTGGGACAGATTCAGACACTAGTTGATGGGCTCACCATATAAATACTTGAATAGATGATCCCAGCTATACCTCTTTTTGAACTGAACACTGCATTTATGGAGAAACTGATGCAAAACTGAAAATGCAAAAGAACATGCACAAAATCCTGTTGGCTCCCACAGCACATAAGCACTTGAAAATGGATGCAGTCTGTTCCATCTAGACATTGGTAATAATCTGGAAGTATCCCTGAGATAGTCCTCCTTCAAGCAAAATCCTCTGTACCACGTCTTTTGGGAACATAGGGATTACCTCCTTATGTATTAGTAATACCAGAAACAATGCAATATTAACTGGTCCCAAGGGCTTTTCTTTTTCCTTTATCAGCTGTTCAACACTGAATAAAATATACAATGTGTAAGGGTAAGTATAAAAGTCAGTAGGTATGAAAAAGTAATCCTTTAGATTTAACTGTAACAGTGAAAAGGAACACACAGAACAGTGTAAACTTATTTCTGAGACACCTTGCTCTAACAGAACCGTACCAAAACTCCAGTCGTAATAAATCTGACAATATCCAATTCTGCAGATAAAGTCCGTGAACACAGTCCCTGAATGTCAATTTTATATCAGCACACAATTGAAATTCAAATTCAGCCTTCATCATCACTGCTGCTCCAAGCGTCTTCATATGCTGGATTTAAAGGCTGTTGAGGCAGAGACTAAAGAAAATAAAAATTCTCTCAGCAGTTTGCTTAATTAAAAATAATAAAATCAAATAAGGGCAATGCTAAAGGCACTTCTTAAATTACTATATGTAGACAAATTATTGTGTCTTTCATGGGTACTGGATTTTTAACCACTTCTTTGGCCATCAGAGACAGGATAAATTATGGAAAGTAGTAGTACTCTATTTAATTCCAATTTCAACAACAACAACAAAAATATCTGGAGCACTGACCACAAGTTTTACAAATGCCTGGTATAAAACAGAACAGATAGATATTACTGTGTTTGTTTTGAGTCACTGGTTTTAAGTCATAATTTCCCTGTCCCAACATAACTGAGCACTACTGTCTCAAGAAGTAGTCCTGGCCTCTACCCACATCCAACAACTATTTCTCACCTCAGCCCCGCTAGGGTCAAGCTAAAGGGTTTGTGCAGCTATGCAGTGCACTGAACCACAGTTTTGACTTGGGGTAGAATGTTTTTCTTGTTTACTTCTATCCTGAGTTCAGACTCTAGTAATACAAGCACTCAGATGGCTGTTCTAGCATGTGAGAGGGAGCAGGAACTAGTGGCCTGTGGACAGTAGAACTGCTTCTTTCAGTGTTCATCTACAGTGCTCATCTACAATATTTGCAAACAGCAGCTGTTAGCTTCACAGATTTCAAAACAATGGTGCACACTACATACCTCCACCATGTCAAATTTAAAGGGGAAGTTCTAATCAGAGCTGGGTAAATAATCTTGTTGCTGTGGGTTTGTTTTTGTTTTTCAGATTAAGACAAAATAATAATTCACACACATCAAAATTCTCAGTTACAGCAAAAATGTTAATTTCAGGTCAACTGAACACATTTTGGGTTTAGGGTATCTAACCTTTGAAATTACTTTTTCTTCTTCGCTTAAGTGTAGGATAATTTTGAAGTAAGTTGTCTTACAAAGCAAAGCAAAGGGTACAAAAATTTTATGCTTCCTCTTTCCCCATCCAAAATGGAACATTTCAGAAATTTTAAAAAGTGGAATTTTTGTATGCTATGAGACAAAGCATTAATATATCCTGATTTTTTAACATTAGTACAGTTTGTCAGACTCTTATTCTGTGAATAGTTTCAGTTCCTTAAAATCTAGAATTTTTCCCCCTCAAAACGTTTACAGGAATTTTTATTGCCCAGCTCTAACACTAAGAGAGAAAGTACTCTCTTGGAAGACAGTGTTACATATGGTCTTCCTTGTAACAGCCTGAACGTCTTGCCTCAGACACTAAAATAAGCTTGTTTACAATCTTCTTTATTATATTTCCACATCAAAAATATTTGGGTATGAAGCGTAGCATCCCTAATCTTACTGTTTAATACACAGTATATTCTTAAACAACTTAAAATACAACCTTTGGCACCTTTCCAATTCCCAAATAGCATAAACTACAGAAAACTGTATGGAAATCAAGAAAGCTAAAGTAGGAGTTGAAAGGCTGGTAGCCGAATGACAAGTATTACTTTGAATTAAGTGAGAAGCTAGAAGTCTGCAAAAGATTTTACTAGACTGAAAGAAAACGTCCTCTTGAAACCCCGCAACAATCAAATGACTGCACAGAAACAATAGGTGATTCTCCTCTTAATTAGGAATTGTTACAATTTTTGATGGTGAAACACATACTTCATATTTAATTTCCACACCACCCCCCCAAGTATAACAGCCATAATAAGTATAGTTCAAACTCACAAATTCATTACCTGTTCAGAAATGTCATCAGGAAGTGGCTCTCGAAGAGCTGGTATCCATGCAAGGATGTTGCAATCTTTGCTACCACTATAAAGTTCCTTTAAGAAAGCAAGCCAAAATTAGTTTTACACAAATTTACTAAACAGTGACATAGATATAATGTTGGGAAAAAAGTGTATGAAATATTTATTTAAAAATAAAGACAAATATACAATTTCTAATTTGTACTGTAATCTTGATAAACAGCATTTTAAATAACATGCCAAAACAAAATGCATACGTTTTTACGTTTTTCCCAACGTTTTACGTTTTTCACCAAAAGAGCACTACCCACATGTAAAAGAACTTTATTGCTTAAATGCACTTTTCTTCTTGCCTCTCTAATGTACTTTTCTTCTTGCCTCTCTAATGTCTCCTGAAAAGACACCTATTTTAACAGTTAGGAAGCTTAAGAGATGATTTATGTTCAATGGAGAAGTAAGGGGGGGAAAAAAAAAAGGAAAAGATTTTTTTTATTATAATTAAAAGATATTAACCAACTCAAAAGCAAATAGTAATATATTAGATGAGTGCACAAGTATAGAGCAAAGAAGTATAAGTAAACGTAGTTTCAGTATGCCTAGGGAAGGAAAAGAACAAATAAAGAACAATTTGAAGCCTGTATCCTGTTGGGAAGGCAGAGATCAGAAAGACCAATTTATTATTTTTAATATAAATAACTCTATTATGGTGATGACTAAGGACTGAGATCCCATTGTGCAAGACACCCTGCAAACATATGGAAGCAAACAGTCTTTACACCCAACAGCTAACAGTCAAATACAGCTTAGTTTTCTTAGTTCTTTATTAAAGAAAATACAGAGTTCTCTGTCACTTTAAACTGAGGAAATTTGGCTAATGAGAAATACTGCACCATCTTTGCAGTAGATTTTGCACTAATAATGCTTCTGTTATTAAATGAATGCTACTTAAATGAACACGCATGAAGACATTCTCATAGGCCTTCAATCTTGAATCATACTCCTGCATATTATATGCAATGTCTGACAACACCTGAGTATTGCCGTGCATTTAAACTGCCTAAATGAAACATATCAAGTATTTTTTCTGAATTCAGGCCAAGAGTATGAAAGCCTTGCTTGAAGCATGTTGGCTTTTACACTTAAACTAGCAACTCTGTACATATGTGCATATTATTAAATCGTTGATTCAACAAAATTCAACAAGTTCAATAAATTATTACAGTTCTGTCTTCACAGAAAGTCTATGCTATTTAAATTTAATTCTAGAACTGCATGAACTATGCTGACAGTTGGTGCAGGAACTTAATGCTTAATTCCTATAAATACCCATTTATGTGGGTAATCTTATTCAAGAGAGCTGACATACTCACTTTTGTAAAACTGGTCCCATGCATGAAGTTATTCATGCATAAAACACATACAAGATTAGAGTTTATACAATTTTATGAGAGAAACATCCTATTTCTCTTGCTTAAAAGAAGACAGCTAAAAGTTATACCAAGGTATAGGTCAAATCCCACTTTATCCTGTCAGCAGTACTCAGGCCTCCTGTCTTTGTCAGGATACAGAATACCACTAGAACTTTAAAACCTCTTCCCATGCCAAAATCTCTCCTTGTGAGCAATGTCATAGTGACATCAGCATAGTTCCATTTAATCTTTATTACCACTTGCCTCACTTTCTGATCCTAGCATTGCAAGATCTTCAGTTAATATCCACTGCATTGAGTAATAATTACAATTAATTATTACAACCTGAAATGGTGACTCATACCTTAAGTCAGTCAAAAGAAGAGCCAGTGAGCTCCATGCATGTTTATGGTACACTACAGGACATACACACATATTGTACTACGAACATGCATGTTCATGGTACAATATATGGAAATATTATGCTTTAGGACTCTGAGGAAAGATTGCAAATAAAACCTAATTTAACTTTCAGCTATCTTTACTTACTAGCCCACCACTGGATTTGCCAAATATCTTTGCAGATGTCACTGGCATTTACTGAACAACAGAGGTAGCTATAAAGCACAACTATTTCCTGATGCATACCTAATATTTTATGACATGTTGTTCATACATAGTGCTTTACTCTTTCTTTTTTCTGAAAGGGAAACATAGGTCTTGTTTGCTTGCTTAAATTATTTTAAGCAGCTAATATGGCACAATGGTATCTAGCATATTAGATTCAATAGTAAACATCATCTAAGAGATTGCACAATGAAGATTTCCTCTTTCACATCACCCTTGAAATTACCGACCTCCTATTAAATTAATGGCTCTTATTAAAGGGCCAAATTCTGCAGTTCTTATTACTCAAGCAGACTAACATCTTATTAACTTTACAGAGACATTTATGTAAGAACAATTTAGGCCAACAATAATATAGTGGATTTTATGGCTCTGTTCCCAGGATCTCAAAAGGCATATATACACACATTAACTAAATCTCACACCACTCTGTGGAGACAGCTCCACACAATATTTCAAACACAAATACTCCACACAAACCCGCTAATTAATTTGGACATCCAAAGAACAGATAAAGACTAATATCATTGGACTGCAAATAGCTAGTTGCTTGGGTATCAGTGATCATATCTGATTATATATATGGTTCTGAGCAAACAGAAGACACTTCTCACCTCAAATACATAATTGCTGCAAAGTTAAAGTTCCTTTTAGAGCCTATTCCAGTTATGAGGTGAAACAAAGGTACTGTCTAAAATACAGTTAATGAACAGAAAGAATGTGAGGGACTGACAGCAACCAGTATCAATCAGAAGTTTTGAACATAGGAAAAAAACCAGAAAATCTAAGGACCAGATTTGGAGGTGGGTAGGATAAAAATCACTCATCAGGGTTACACACAGCAGAAAAAGTTTAGAAGACTATGAATATGAAGAAAACTCTTAACAACGACAGAGACTCACTACCAGATGGAAATGGTAGAAACTATGCAGAAAAGATGTAGACCTTGTTTCATATGAAGATAGCGCACTAATTTCAAAGGTGCTAAGAAGTAAGAAAAATGGTAGAAAGCCATCTGCTACACATTTCAGTAAGTGCATAACTTATATCAGAGAGACTTCGAAGAGTTGTCTAAGAAAACTTATGGCTTGTTTGAGTTAACTATGTTTTAATACATACCGAAATACTACAATGCTGAAAGTGAGCTAATATGCCATTTGGGGGGGGGGGGAAGAAAAAAAAACCCAAAAGTGGAATGATACACATACAAGTGAACTAACTGACATTTCTTTAATCCTAAACAAGACAATGGAAAAGGTGATTAAATGATTCAGTTACTGTAGAGTGAAGACACACAAATACAAACAATATCAGTCAACATGGTTAGCAACTAAGCAGGTTTTGTTAAGCAAAACTGATTTTATTTACAACTAGTAATTGAAAATAGGAATGCTGTGAATAGCTTTGTAACATATTGATTTAATATTGCTTGCAAGAGTAACAAAACAGGTAACTATAAATTTTACTTTACTTTCTCAGAAAATGAGTTTTAACTGGGAAATCATAATTTCTATTGAAATTATATGAAGACTCATGAATGCACTTAATTATCTCAAGACAGAGTGAGGTATTTGGAAGTCTAAGTGTGAACACAGTCAAAATAACACTACCACTACCTTTGGTGTTGATACACTGACTATAGTAATGTTATCATACATCAGAGTAACTATTTAATACAACTAAAAGCAGAGCATTTAAAGAAAAAGAAAATCCAGTCACATTCCTAGAATATAGAACTGAACTCTGGAAAAGGGGGATTCTGGAAGAGAATCAGGAATCGCAACAGATAAACAAATGAAGTTGTTGCCAACATAAACCTACAGCTATAGTGACTGGTGTAGCTCTTGTGTGCATGCTCACATACGAGTGATCCTTTTCTAAGGATCTTAAAAGCTAAGATAGACACACTATAAAAAGATATGCATTTCCAGGGCTGGAAAACATGATTTACAGTCAGATTTAATGGGCCTCACCTCTTCAGCTTATGAAAAAGAACACCAAAGATGACTTAATATAACCATACTAGCACTTTTGTTGGAAAGCTATTCTTAAAAACACAAAGGGCTTTTTAAGCTAGTCAAGAACAGCCCAGAAAAGATGTGCCTTAGCTATAATGTGAATATTCCACCTTTCAGTGGATCTAGGGTCTCGCTACCTATTAATGCCAGAACTGCTTTCCACGTCTAGCAAGGCTTATTAGCTTGGGCTCTACTGCCTCATCTGCAACACGTCCAAAACTTTGAGTGAAGTCCACCTCAGTGATAGGGAAACTTGTTTCAGTCAAAGTTACTGGACCCTAAGCAAGAGCTACCAGATTCACTTCTATGATGTACTGTGTGAGAGGTCATGAAAGGATATCCACATGCCCTTTCTGCCTCAAGTATTTCTGCCTGAAACTTCAGAAACAAAAGACAAGAAAGAAGGCACTGGAACATGAAGTACAATCCTCAGCACCTGAGGGCAACAATGTAACAAACTTAAAATCCATACTAACATCCACTCTGCTCTTGCCACACCACAAGCCATAAGAACAATCTGTGGTAAAGTATCTCATAACAAATTAAGCTTTTTTATCCTTAGTCTTTTATTACAAGAGAAAAATATACCATAGGGGGAGAGTAAAAGAAAAAAATGCTGTCAGCACCATGAGTCTCTGTAATACTATGGTATTTCTTAGGTGAAATGTTTTCAGATTAATTTAAGGAGCTCCTCATGTTCTCAACACTTCATCCAAACTGTTCATAGATCCAGTGATTGGTATACCTACAGGCATTTGAGCAAGATCACCTTAGCAAAGTACTCAGAGGTTTCTCAGTACTGATAGCAACACTAATGCACTTCACCTAAACGCACTTCACATTCATTCTTACTGTGATTAGCCTTAGGCATCTCAAAGACAGACAAATGCCTCCTCTTCAGTCTTACAGAAAACAGGCAAAAGCCTTAAGGCATACAATTTGTTAATGACAATATAAACCAAGAAATTACTATAGGTATATTGAAAAGTTACCTATGTGAGACAAAATGAATAGTGGAAGGAACCCAATATAGAAAGGGTCCATCCCTTTCTATTCTGTCCCAATAACTTGACCAAACTTTTCTTGCTTGACACGTAGGCCACAGAACTCCCTCTTATATCAAGATCTTTGATTAAAGCACATCCCTGAAAAGTTAGCACTTTTTGTGCAAATGGTTTGGCAATCTCCATAAATATTCCAGGTTGTCTGGCATATTGTTTGTACTTCACTTACCTGAAAACTAGGTTGGAATACACAGCAGTTGACAGTACTATAATGTCCTCTAAGCATAGTTATCAGTTCTCCTGTGAAAATCGTATAAACAGCAATGGTACTATCATATGGTACAAAGGCAAACTCTGGATTACAGCCACAAGAGATGGTGAATTTGAGTCCTTTTCTACTTTCATTACGGACTTTCCCATAATTCACCTGTAAAATGAAGGATTATGCTGTTAGCTAGTAACTAAAACTACAGGAAATAACTTCACATGAAAATGTAAATTTCATTCCTTCTTTAATACCCAATAAAACTGATTTTAAGCTTCTCACTGCTAATACCACCCTTCAGATTTCCAGTAACATATGTCTGTCATGAGAATAAGTTTTCTGTTCATTGAAGTTCACTCCCCTTAATATCAACTTTAACAAAGAGAAAGAAAGATATGCCTAAAAATCAGCAGTTCCACACTTAGAAGTAGAATTTGCACAGGCTGTTGCATGCCAGATCGACACTGAGCACCTAAACTATCACTGAAATTGCAACTGTTTCAGGAATTACCACCTTAAACATTTGTCTAGATGATCCAGCATAGTAATTTGCTCTCAGATATTGAAGCTATTAAGAAAACTGCTTATGCACAACAGTATACAGTTATAAATCAGAATCACAGAATAGTTTGGGTCAGAAGGGACTTTTAAAGGTCATTTAGTCCAACCCCCCTGCAGTGAGCAGGGACATCTTCAACTAGATCAGGTTGCTCAGAGCCCCATCCAATCTGACTTTCAATATTTCCAGGGACGGGGCATCTACCACCTCTCTGGGCAACCTGGTCCAGTGTTTCACCACCCTCATTGTAAAATATTTCTTCCTTATATCTAGTCTGAATCTACCCTCTTCTAGTTTAAGACCATTACCCCTTGTCCTATCACAACAGGTCCTACTAAGAAGCCTGTCCTCATCTTCCTTACAAGCCCCCTTTAACTATTGAAAGGCCACACTAAGGTCTCCCCGGAGCCTTCACCAGGCTAACAACCCCAACTCTCTCAGCCTTTCTTCATTGAAGAGGTGCTCCATCTCGCTGATCATTTTTGTGGCCCTTCTCCGGACCTGCTCCAACGGGTCCTTTCCCATGCTAAGGACTCCAGAGCTGGATGCAGTGCTCCAGGTGGGGTCTCACCAGAGCAGAGTAGAGGGGCAGAATCACCTCCCTTGACCTGCTGGCCACGCTGCTTTTGATGCAGCCCATGACACGGCTGGCTTTCTGAGCTGCAAGTGCACATTGCCGGCTCATGTTCAGCTTTTCGTCCACCAGCACCCCCAAGTCCTTCTCTGCAGGGCTTCTCTCAATCCCTTCATCCCTCAGCCTGTATTGATACTGGGGGTTGCCCCAACCCAGGTGCAGGACCTTGCACTTGTCCTTGTTGAATCTCGTGAGGTTTTCATGGGCCCACTTCTTGAGCCTGTGGAGGTCCTTCTGGATGGCATCCTGTCCCTCAGGCATGTCAACCGCACCACTTATCTAGGTATCATCTGCAAATTCGCTGAGGGGGCACTTGATCTCCCTGTCTATGTCATTGATGAAGATATTAAACAGCACAGGTCCCAATAACTGCAAGACTTTAGTCCACAGATTGAAGAATAATTGATCTACACCACCTTCTACCCTGTAAGCGTCCTTTGTTTATCAGAGTTGACTGATGTTGCAGAAAACAACAAAGCATTAGAATTTTGACAAATAAAATGTACATATATTTTTTTTCCATGAAGAGGGAGAAGTCCACACTGAACACCTGAAATTCACACATTATTTTATGACATAAAAGAAGCATTTTTTTCTAATAAAAGTAAGAGTATTTTAAATTTTAATTCATTAATACTACATAGCATTATATATAAAATATTTCAAATATTTTCAATTAGTATGGTCCTACAACCTATGCTCTTAGTTTCTGCTGAAAAAAAGAGATTCACTTACATATACCATGGTAGCAAAGCTCTCTAGGTCAATTTTAAAGCTCCCCACGTAAACCTCATGGTGTATAGTTAAAAAAAATAGAAATTCTAAGTGTGAAATCTTTTGACTATAAGCTAACAGATTTGTAAAGTTTAGCAGGTAAATATTCTAATGCAAACGTCTTGCTTTGTCAGGTTCTTGATCCATACTACATCAATTGCCTGAGTCTAAAGTCTGATGCAAATATAAGCATCAGTCAGCACGAGCCAGGAAAGACAGACGACTACTTGTTGCTCTATTTTTTTAAAGTACGCTCTTTCATAGCAAAGAGCACTTATGTAAGAAAAGTATAATAAAAAGGAAGCTTGAGAAAAACCTCTCTCATTCAACATTCAAATGTACCCAAAGAGAATTTCATCAGCATAAAAACAGGTTGATATTTTTTTATTTGAGAAGTATTTTCATGAGATGTGGAGCTTATGTCATGTCCTTTGTGGATAATACAGCTCATTTTGTAGATTTGTTTGTAAATATTGACTGTGTTAAGTCTTGTTAATGCTGGTCATTTTAAGAGACATACTAGTCTGCTGATAAAGAGCAACTAAACTCCTTTACATAGGATGTGAGCTGTACCAGCAACAATTCCCAAGCCACAACACTGCTCATAACAAAGGCATGTACCATGAAAGGGAGGAGTGGAGGCTAGGAAAAGTAAATTATATGGATGTACTCGGTGTAAATGTTCCTGCTTGATAGACAGACAACAGAAAAGAAAGGATGCTGCCAAAACAAGAACTGAAGAAACATCTTAAAAACTGGCTTTGTCCTTTAAAGCATACAGATGAACAGAAAACCTGCTTCCTTCTGTTTGATTCTTCCCATACTCAGTGAATCAGCACTTTCTATTCCTTTTTGTGATAAAAGGATGTATGCAAGATGTGTATGACTCCAACATGCATTTCTCTTACCAATTGAAACAATCCACTAGGCCACAAATTTGGCTCATTGCTCAAAAAAATTCATACGCATGGCTTAATTTCTATACCTTTTGAAAGGTATAGAAAAAAATTATGGTGATCAAAAGGACTGGCTAGTAGGGGAAATAAAGGGGCTATGGTGCGAACTTGTATTACCTGTACATGCATTTGTTTGTCTGCTGGTGCCTTGAAATTATTTTAAGCAACACCTCTGGGCAGCATGTGAAAATACAATACTCTGGACAATATAATTCTACACTTGAAAAAGCAAGGCAGGATCAAGCTATTCCACACCAAATAAGAAAATTGTAAAATAGCCTATGAAACAAGTCAATGAACTAACAGGCACAGAAAAACAAAAACCAGTGATCCAGCTGGTGATAGGAGAGTGAACAAACTGTATTATCTACTTTGGTGATGGTGATTTGAAGACAGAAAGATGTCTGTATATGAAGTGCTGAGAACAAGCTGGCCAATACAGGTAGTGTGGAGATAGAAAAGTCCTCTCACTTAAATGTCTGTAAGGAATTCTGTAAGGAATTGTGTTCTGAAAGTAAGCAGCAGAAGTAAAAGACTTGTAAGGTAGAGTAAAATTTCCTCCTTTCCTGGTAGCAATGACAGACCATAGCCATGACTGGCTAAAACACAATGGAAACTGACTTACCTAGTATGTCCTTCTTTCAAAATAAACATAGGAAACAATTTTCTTTACTGAACAGAAAATTAAAACAGGAACCTTCAGCAAAAAACAAGCCATAGAATGGACTGGAGCAGCAGTAGAGATTTAATTCCTCCCCGCCTTGTTTGCAGGGGGGATAGCAATTGTAGAGGGACAGATACCTGTAACGCTGTCACAACTCGACAAGAGAGATTCCACAAAAACACAAGGTTGAAAGAAAGCCAGGCAGTCAATCAGTGAAACTCTCAGGTATGGACAGGTGCCCTGTGGATAGCACACTGACAACTAATAGTTAAAAAAAAAAAAAAATTCTACCAACAGTCACTGCATATTAAGGTTTTCACTGTTGTCTGAAGTGTTTTCAGCTATGTTTGCAAATTAATGACCTTAAAGTTGCCATATTCAATCTTTAAGTAGATGCAGGCTTCTTCATACTCTGGTTGTTTTTTTTTTTTTTTATAAGTAGAAATAAGAAAAGAAATCTGGAAAAAAAATGCTCACAAAATCTTCTAATGATGAAATTAAGCAGCTACATCCTTTATGAATATGAATAAATATCTGAAGTTGTAATGACAACTGCACAAATTATAAATCTTCTAAAATTAAGTGCAAACAAAAACATAACTGAAGGTCCTTGAAAACTTACTAACGTGTTTTCTCCAGTGGAGCTGTTCCAGAGCCGCATCCGATCATCTGTGCCAATGGTCAAAAGATGAAGTCCATCATTTGTATAGCATAAACCATTAACTCTCCCATTGTGAGCAGTGTTTGCTGTCAAAAAAAGAGCTGGTTCAGGTTTCTACAGAAGAATTACTATTTTGTATACACATTTTTATTTCAATCTATAGTACCGAAAGTGCTGTTTAAATGGTACCGTATCAGTAAATTAATAATTTAACTCTTGGTTTATAAACTAGCAGTCACCAGTAGTGTTCCTCAAGGCTCAATTCTAGGGCCAGTTCTGTTCAATATGTTTATCAACAATCTGGATGCAGGAGTTGAATGCACCATTAGCAAATTTATTGACAATACCAAACTGGGAGGTGCTGTTCACTGTCCTGAGGGACCAGAGGCCTTGCAGAGGGATCCAGATAGATTGGAGCACTGGGCAATGATTAATGGGATGACATTTAACAAGAACAAATGTTGGATTCTGCAACTGGGATGGAGTAATGCTGGGCAGAGGTATAAACTGGGAGATGAGTGGCTGGAGAGCAGCCCTGCAGAAAGGGATCTGGGGGTGCTGGTCGACAGCAGGCTCAGTACGAGTCAGCAGTGTGCCCTGGCAGCCAAGAGGGCAAAGCGCATCCCGGGGTGCATCAAACACAGTAGAACAAGCTGCTCAAAAGAGGTGATTATCCCACTGCATTCAGCGCTGCTGTGATCTCACCTTGAATATTGTGTGCAGTTCTGGGGCCCACAATTTAAGAAGGCTATTAAGGTGCTTGAATGAGTCCAGAGGAGGGCAACAAAGCTGGTGAAAGGGCTGGAAGGCATGTCCTGTGAGGAGCAGCTAAGGACTCTGGGCTTGTCTAGTTTGGAGAGAAGGAGGCTGAGGGGCGACCTCATTGCTCTCCACAGCTTCCTGAAGAAGCGAAGTGCAGAGGGAGGTGCTGAGCTTTTGTCCCTGGGATCCAGTGATACGGTGCATGGGAATGGTTCAAAGTTGCACTAGGGGAGGTTTAGACTGGACATGAGGAAGCCTTTCTTTACCGAGAAGGTGGTCAAACACTGGAGCAGGGTTCCTAGAGAGGTGGTCGATGCCCCAAGCCTGTCAGTGTTTGAGAGGCATTTGGACAATGCCCTTAACAACATGCTTTAGCTTTTGGTCAGCCCTGAGTTGGTCAGGCCATTGGACTAGATGATCATTATAGGTCCCTTCCAAACTGAATATTCTATTCTATATTGTTTGTAGAGTACTATAAATTAATTCCACTGAGTTCACCCTGCAATACTGCACATTCTTAAGTATGCTGAAGTAGCTAAAATCCAACTCAGTGCTATCACAGCAAACCTAATTATGGTGCCCATAAATTAACTCACTGAAAAATGGATAAGGTATCTCTGCATTATACCGCAGTACACAATTTAGACATACCTCTCAGATAAAAAGTGTTATCTGTTTTTCAAAGTTTTCATAAAAAAATTGTTTAGCTGCATTTGGTTTAGTTCAGCTATATTTCAATATATTTAATATCCTAGTCTATCTGATTGCTATTAGATTATAAAAAAATCATCTTGAACCTGTCAGAGAAATAAAGTTGCAAAGAAAGTTGTTGTGTTTGAACAAGACAACTTGTCATTCAAAGGAATGACATAACACTAATTATCCTGGGAGTTACACAGAATTTCATTTTTTGAAAATTTGTCCAAATTTTTTTTTCATGTCTTAGATTTCTTTAGAGCATTTTCATCTCAGTAATTTCTTGAATTTCAATGAAATTTGAAATTGTCAAAACCAAACATCTATATTACCACACTACAATTTACATAGCAGACAGCATGGTTATTAAAACAGATACTTACTGCTACTTCATTTCCTCTAATCGTACATTTTGGAAAATTAGTTTGACTTTACAGAAATTTGCATGTATTTTTCTCCATGCAATTTAAGTTGCATATAACAAGTTAGACTGACTTGTAGCTTTAATTACTATGATTTAAGCTATGCAAGTCCCTTTGTTCAGAGCCATGATACAGTTTCTACTGTGTGATTCAATTCCAAATACTATGTATTTCTACCTCACAGCAGCGACTGTTCAAGTACCTTTTTGGCCTGCCAAAATTAAACATATTTTGTCCCAAATTGACCAAAATTCATGAACTATAAGTTAAAGTTCAGAAGCTTCCCTTTAATTTAGGTTTGGTGGTGTTTTTTTTTCTCCCCCCAAGGTACAGAAATGTGACCTGAAGATACATAAAAATGTTAATGATGTAGCTAATAACAACTGATACAAGGGACCATTAATGCATCTGACTGTACTGAAATAAGAGTGTAATTTAGCTTCCTGCAAAATTAAATACAATCATGAATTTATACTCTGTTTTACACTTTATGCAGTATAAAAGGAATATAATTGATTTTATGGCACCACATATAAGAAAACATTCTAGAGGCTTGCATTAGAAGCAAGAGTAACTTAAACAGGAAAAGGAATGTGCTTTTGTGGGTTTTGTTTGTGTTGTCTTTGTTTTAAAAGGAGGGTAGTTAACTACTGGAACAGCTTATGAAGTATGAAGTGATTGCTGTTTATATGAAACCTGATCTACAGCAGGAATGAATTCTTCCACCCATAAAACGCATGGCAAAATTTCCCTTTTTAGGGGGAAAAACATTTAGAACAGATACAATACTGTTGCCAAGGAGATCACTCTAAACAAGATCCCCAACCACATACACTGTCTCTACAACAGAAGTAACAACAAAATTCAATGGCCTGTGTTACACAGTAGGTAACAACTGGATTATCACCACTCTCCTTGCTGGTCTTAGTATTCAACACATTTATGAAATGTAAGAATGCTTCTAGTTACATATGGATTGCCACCAGCTATATTCCGTATTACCTGCCTCAGAAGATGCTTTGGACTTTTCTCCATTGTGCTGATCAAGTGTAGTCAGACATCCAGATGCTCTCCTCACATCCCATAATTTTACTCTACTGTCAGCACTAAGAAAACCAGATTTGCATACATTAGGGAAATCGTGTACATCCGGGTTCAATAACTCTCTTTAGCCAACCCACCTGGCACTCATCCTGGTCCAGCAACTGCTCTGAACTACTCATCATGCAGTCACATTCAAGCCAATAGAATTTCATGAAAAGATTTTTAAGACAGACTTGAGATTCATTTACATGAATTAATAAATATAGCTGGTACACTACAGGCACCTAAGTTAAGAGTGAATCTTTCTCTACAATACAATACACTTGCCTCTTTGTCTACAACATAACACCCTTGCATACATACACAGCCTAGAATAAACTTGCTAATTCTTCTGTTGATTAAACTGTAGCTACAGACTCCAACATTGCCTGTAATGGTTGCCTGGGAACTCAGGCTCTTGCTATCACAGATCTACAGTATGACTGGTACACAAGTTGGCTACATACACATAGGCTGGATAGTCTATATGCTCTGTTGTCATACAGCGCTATGGCAGAGAAACACTGACAGCTCGCTTCTGTAGGAACTCACTGGCTTTGTCTACATTACCAGGGAGGCACAAGGAGAGAAAGGCCAAGGTTCAGGCTGCTGTGATTCGTGCTGGTTCCCAGGCTGGCATGCTCATGCTTTGCTCACACTCTGTCTTTGCCAGCAACAAAAGCTATGATAACCATTATGCTTAGATAGCAACACTGTGCAGTGTTGCTATCTAAGGCAATGCACTTTGTATGGCGCCTTGATGTGCAGCTTGATTTGAGCATTCCAGTAGTATACGTCTGTGTGCACCACAAGACTCCCAGGTATAGATAGGAGGTAAAGTCATAGAAAAGACCGCTTTCCATGCACTAAGTCGCCAGTGTAGATGTATTTACTGAAACTATTTGGACAGTTCCCAGGAACTTAACTGTCCTTTCAGAGAAAAAAAAAAAAAAAAAACAAAAACCCAAACCAAACGTAAATCACTTTTCAACCCTGCTAAACAAAAACAACTGCATCTCCTTGATCTACAGATAGAAAATATACCCAATCAAACTGCTTCTTAGATAAGCAGTCTTCTAACTGAAGTACTACCAGCTTTTTCCTGTGTAGTCTCAAGTTAGACCAGTGCATTAATATCGGGAATATATATAGTATACATATACCAACTGCCCAAAGCAAAACCAACTGTTATTCCTTATCTGTTCTGCATCTGACAAAGCTAATGACTACTTTGTTCTTCTGTGCTACCCTCCACTACAGATTGATTCTGTTAACTTCCAAGTGGTATCCCAACTGAATATGCTGACAATTACTTTGCTGCAAATGAATATTCTAAGACCGTAAATAGAGATATCACTAAGGTTCAAGCTGACTGTAAAGCGAGCAACAAACTGCAGGTAGTTCATTGAAATATTCTAACAAAGGCACAGAAAGAGCTTCCTTATTATAAAAGCCTACACCTGTCCATTTCTGATGATGCAGTTTCTATTGGTTCATCTTTTCTAGCCAGTTCTAATAAGCAAGAAAGAACTTATAATCTTCTGTATTGCCTGAAATTGAAGTGTGTGAAAGACACCCAGAAAACATGTCTCTTCTCTGACCATTCCAATCTGCTGCCAAAGCTATGGAAGAGCCAAACATGATATAGAGAAATTTGAAATAACACATTTCACATGCAAGCCACATAAAAACCAAAAATATATTTTCCCTCCCCTGAAGTGAACACAAGCAAACATACAATTGTCTTGGAAAACAGTCACATCTCCTGATCTGCAAGATTAGTCCAGATTCTCTTTTTAGCAGTACCAGTCAGTTTCTCCTCACTACATCTTCATTATCTCAGTGTTGCCAGTTCTTGCCCAAATTTGTCTTAGCAAATGGCAAAACTGGGTTATGTTATTAGGAACTAGTAGTCCAACTATAGCACTGAATTAAGTAATGGAGCCATAAGAAACACATTTAACATGCAGTTATCATAAAGCAACATGACAACATAGCCAGATGCAGTTTATAGTTACATGACTTCGAAGCACAGTGTTTCAGGAGACATCAATAAGTCAATATTTAATAAACAAAATTTACTATTATTTCTGTGATGGAAAACAAGGAAACAATTTTTCATTTGCTAAAACAAGCAAATAAATCACAGTGTTAGAAAATTTCCCAGCTATGTTGAGCCTTTCAGAGCCTGGCATCAGAAGCCAAGGGTGTGCAATTCTGACATCAACTTATTCAAATCTCACCCTCAACTTAGAAAATGGACATTCCTCTCTGCAATTCAAAAGAAAAAACAAAACATGCCAACCATGAAACTGGAAAGAGAAATGCCATGTTATCATCAAAAGCTGCCATATGCAAAAGTTGTAGGAAAGCCAAGAAAATCTTTTAGACTGAAAATGGCTGGAATGGAAAAAAACAACCAAACAAATAAACAAGGCCCAGGAACATCAACAGACAATCCATACTCACTGAATTACTGCAGCTTAGAATGTTATTACCCATCAGCTAAGCTACCTGCATTGTGCTCTTTGACACAATTGAGCATGATTAACCAGGATGATATTTTGCGTTAAATACATTTTACTTTGTTATAAAACAGATTAGCAATGTGCACACTAATAAACAGTACAAAGTAAATATCTCTATAATGCTCTATCATTTTGCTATACCTTTAAGTGCAATTGCTATTTCAAAATTCTGTACAATCTTCATATAAAATAAACATCACTTGGATAGCTTTTCAGGCTTAGTTTTTCTAGGCAAGATCTATAAAACTCTGAATAGGTTCAAGTAAATGACGAAGATTAACTTTAAAAGTGCATTTGAATCATAAAAACCATGGACAGTGAATATATTAAATTTTACTGTCAGATATTTTTAGTGCATGTAACAGTCCAGTAACATCTCTACCTTGCTGTTGCCAAAACATATTCATGACGTGGGGACCAAGACACTGCCAGTACTTCTTGCCTGTGACCTAAAAATAGTATGAAAAAGCTTATATAATTTTCTAGGAAAATATTTATACACACCATTTTACGTAAATAACTATAAGTAAAAGCAAATACTTAGTTCTACAGGATCCACAAATCCAGAACAATAATCTAAACTGTAATATGAATTTGAATTTTGTGAAGATATATTATTTTGGGCTAGAGGTTATTTCTCTTTCTTTCTCTTGCTTGAGTGGGATTGCAGTGCACTGAAACTGATACATGGAGTATTACATGTGTATAAATTTTGATAACAAAGACTGTTTCACCTATGCAAAACACGTTATAGCACAGTCACAGCTATTGAGTTTACTTTAAGTACTGTTATTAAATTTTGTGTTAGCACTGGTGTTCTCACATGCAGAAGGAACTTTCAGTTTGTTTTTCTTCAAATCCTTTCAAAATCTGTAATAAAAAGTATATTTTCCTGATGTGCTTAAGATTAAAACTTTATCCAGCTTACCCTCAAATACTCTTCTCCTGAATTTGGGATTTTTTTTTCCCCCTAATTAGGTCTGAAATATTAAGATAAATGTCGTCTTAGAAATGTCATACCCAGTGCGGCTTAGTGGCAAGTAATAAATATATATATGCACACACACTTTAAATTTGGAAAGTTTTAAAAATGTTAGACAAATACAGACAATAGGACATGTAAGTTGTCCTAAACAGAAAGACTGAAATCATGCTTCATGTAATAATAGAAAGACATTGCTGAAAAAGAAACTAAGTTACACAAATACATTTTTGCTAATGCAGTTTTAGAACTATGTGAACCACCTTGTTTCTGGTACATCTTCCAGTAGTTGGTTTTCCATTACCTGAAGTAATCAAAGGGCTGTGATGCCCACGATAATGGAAAAAACCTCCACAATACAAGTACTACAGGATACACTTGGAAGCTCACAGCAGACACATTTATTTGGATCCTGTAAGTAAACTACAGCCAAGCATTTAGCTCCATTTCAGCTGCTAGAGTTAGCCTATGTGGAAAATATTAATACCTATTTTCAAGACACTATTGAGTGCTTCAGGTTCTGTAAAGAATGATTAGATTATGTTTAGTGGAGGATACAATCTGCTTCCACTTGTTCCTTTAATATTGCACTTGAGTTAACTGTACCAGGCTTCGTACGAAGACACAACCAGCTTGTGCCTGGAAAGCACTAACTCTTGTGCCAAAATTAAGAAGCCCTGCTGAAACCACACCGATTCTCTACAGAACTATTTTTGTGTCTTCACTCTCTGGTGCTCTTAGTTCTAGAAACAGAACATTGAGATGCCCGTTGTGGCTGATTCAGTTCAGAAGGACTTACTGGCTTAAGCTCTGCATCACACGAAAGCACCTAGGCTGCCTTCAGACTTGAAATGGCCAGTGAAGAAATAAGAGCCGCATTTGCACACTGCTGTATCTGAACAGTTTCTAGATCAGATCTGGCTCTTGCCCTGCTGCTCTGAAGCATGAAGATTTACCTTGAATTGCCTTCACTTGAGTATGCATATATGTACGCACACTCCAAAAAGTAAATATTAGAAAAAAGACATCAAGGGCAAATTCTCATTAAGAGCAAAAAGTAATGGATTACACAACAATAAACCCCTACATTTACTGAATTACGTAAATGCAAAGGATTAGCTGCCACCCTGCTACAGCAAGTAGTATCTTGCCTGTTATACAGAAACTTCCAAACAAATCCATGCAAGCACCTCCACAGGATATTTTGTTAAAAATAGTGAAGGGTTTTTTGTTTTGGTGTTCGTGGTTGGGCTTTTTTTGTTTTGTTTTGCTTTTTTTTAAAAAGCACCACCCCATATTGAATTTCCATGAACACAAAACCAATGCCTACACTTAACCCTGTAATAAATAGTAATCACTACTGATTAGGTGATGAAAATACCCAAACATCTGCAATAATTGTTCATTAATTAATACTTATATTCTCCAATTCATTAGCGCTAGACTAACACCCAGAAGAACCTTTTCCACTGTGTAACTTTCACAACTGGCAATAAATAAATTAGTCATGTTACTTACAAAGAATACATTGTATACAGTGTTTCTTTACAGGACTTGTTTTACTCAAAGTAGTTATTGTTTAACATTTATGTTTCAGACTAAAAATTACCCTGCAGAATGTGAGAACAGGATCCAGACTTCAAGTCACAGAGCTGTACTTTGGGGCTTTTGGTACCAACTGTAACAAGAGAAACAAAGACAGCTAAAAAAACCCCAGTATTTGAGAGAACAAAAAAATCTGAGCAATGACAAAGAAATAGAATAAAAATGTTAGCTGCATAACATAGTCAGAGCAATGCATTCTATTAACAATTTACATTTTTAGTCCAAGTAAATTTACCATATAACAAACAAAATTTAGAAACTGGTGGTAAACAGGACAGCACTTACGAAACTTAAAAATATCTTCCCTTTAAATATTTTTCTTGCTAAACATAGTTAAATTGTGTACATGTAAGCAATACACCCCTGCCCCCATATACACAATTCACTATGTTTGGATCTAATAGCCTTCAAATGGTAACTTACATAATGAAAGGTAACCTAATTTTAGCTAGGAATTTTTATCTAGAAGGAGAATTCATTGATGCATTATTTTAGAAGAACAAATGTGATATTCTCATCAACATCATCCAACGAACTGGTAATAATTTCTTTTACCAATGACCTTACATCTTGTAAAGACTCAAAGTATGTAAAAATAAGATGGGGAAGGAAAAAAAAATCTCTACTGAATATTAGTTGCTTTTTACTATAACCCCAAAATACATAGGGCATTTCTTAAAAACACATCCATACCTGCTATTAAACAATGCTTTGTAGCAACTGGAGACATGTGATGGCTATAGACTGTTCCCTCAAAGTGAAATACATCTGCAGGCTGATAATAAAAACATTAATTACAGTGCCAAGTATGTTATTGGAATGTATATCCTCATTATTAAGTATTTTTCAAGTAACAGCTACAAATGAGACTAATACAAATATTACTATTTACATACTAACAATAACTCCTGGTTAGAAACCAGGTCATGCAAGCATCACAAAGTAAGTCTGTTTTCAACAGTAGAACAACTATGCCAGAGCTTAGAGATGACCCAAAAGACAGACCAAGAAAACTGGCTAATCAGAAGCATGAATGGAAATTATTTTAAAATTATCAAAAATTAAAAAAGCTAGCAAGAAAAAACAGCAAACAGGAAGGTTATAATATGGAGAAAGAAGTCAACAGGAAAGAAGCACTTAGACTAAATTTAGAATCCCCTTGTCATTCACAAACATCACACACTATCTTCAATTCCTCAAAAAAACCTCCCCAAAACCAAGAAACCAAAACCCCACACAAAATTATTAGCTCCCTTGTGAGTGCTAAAAATGAAATACAATACTGGCTTTAATAATCAGTACAATTACTTTCAGGTACAATTGCTTTTGTTGTCTCATTCTAAAATATTGTGTGTATATATATAAAAAATAACCAATGTAAAACTAAGTTTTCTGTGTTTTCAGATACACCCTTTGGTGGCAGAACAGGTCAATCAATAACCTTCACATGAACACTGTGTCTTCTAAATGATGCCCACAGAACTACCTGGAAAGTGAATTGAACTTTGCATTTATGAGAACATTTAGTAACTGCAGCACAGCTTCACATCTCACAAAAAAAGAGGTCAAAATTTATTCTCTATTGTGTCCCTAGGATGACAGACCTCTTATTTTTTTTAAATTCTTTCACTATGCGTGAAAAAACATTCAAATAGCATCAGTGTAAATCCATTAATACATGCATACTGGAAACAGGATAAACTGCACTCCAGAATCTGTAGTTCAACAATTACACGTGAGGACTAATGAGTCAAAGCAACCCAAAATCCTACAGAATCTGTTTATTTTAATAAAGCTAGTTACATTGGTCAGCATTTTCTTAACGGTTTCTCTCATTCTCCACCAACTTTTAGAAATGGTGTCTACAGTGCTTACAACAGCAGAATTTTGGACCTAATGACCCTGAATGCCAAGACTACCAGTCCTTCAAAAGCAGTATTTAGGCCTTGGTTTCTAAAAATAATTAGCCCTGCTATACAGTACCATCACACTCAACAATCCCCAAGAATGAACTTCAGACCAGTCCTTGGTGGACAAGTTTACATAACCTAAATTCAACTAGTTGTATTCTTGTTCGCAGCAAAAGCAGAAAGGAATTGTCCCAAGGGTTCCAGGCTCGCGTACAGTTTAGACATTCAGGTCTTCAGAAACACACAGGTACACACCAAGGTACGTGTGAATGCCAGAACCACGCCACCCTCTGCTGCACCCACAGTTCTAACAATCGGTTGGCTTTCATCCTTCTGGATGCTTGTTCCTGTTGAGCTCTGGGTGAACTGCAGATGGGGAATGAATAACATGTATACAAAGAAGCCTGCAAGCTATAGAAATTATCTCTTACTTGTAAAGTATTTGTATCCCATATTTTCAAGGTTTTATCAAATGAGCTGGATGTAAACATGCCAGTGTCATGAGGATACCACTGGACTGTCTCCACACTGAACCTATGTACATCAGGATGGCTCCTAAAATCAAGGAAAAGATTCCAGTTGGTTAGAGTCTTGATCATCATCTTATAATTGTCTTGATACTCAATGACAAGTTGAAAACATAGTTTAAAGGGCTTTTTTTTAATTTGTATTCGTTTTCAAGAAGAACTACGTGTTTTGGTGCCTCAATTTTCAATCAACCAATACTAATTACTTCGAAGAGCCCTCATTTCAAGAAACTACAGATCACTGACCTTTCCAAAATATGGGTATCTGTACCATATCTCAAATTAAGACACACAGTCTGAGGCATAAAAGACACTAATATCTTTTGAAATTTTTAATTCTAGTGTTTTAAGATCTAATGTTTAAAGTGAGGGCCTAACACTACAAACCATTTATGCTTGTGGAATCCCCCGTCTTAGTAATGGATACACTGAAAAATACAGTCACATATATAGTTCCAAAAATTCATGATTATTAGCTAATGATTACAGCTACACAGTTACTGGAAATTCAAGTATACCGAAGTCATTAGACAGCAGTGAACTGAGTTACTGAGAGTTAATTATTTTTGCATTCAGAAATGAAAGAGGAAAAACAATATGAAACTTTCAACTCAACTATGCACAGTAACAGAATAGAATACAATTAATAATACATTAACAGTGGTGGGAAGAAGGGAGGCCAGAGCCAATCTTGACAGCTCCAGGGTATGATTTAATTGACCAGGCTCTGAACAATACAGGTTGTTTCACATACCTCCTAGGCCACTCATATCTGAGCTAGATCCACATGGATCCAGCTTCAGGGCCCAAAACCGTGCTCCCAGACTCAGCACTACCATGCTGTTGTGGGTTAACCCTAGGCAGCTAACCACCATAGCTGCTTGCTCACTTCCCCCCTGCAGTGGGATGGGGGAGGGAATCCAAATGGCAAAGATGAGAAAACTTGCAGGTTGAGATAACAACATTTTAATAAGTAAAAGGAAACAAAACAACACAACCCACAAAAAAAAGAAAAACAAGTGATGCAAAAGCAATCCCTCGCCACAGGCTGACCGATGCCCAGTCACACCCCGAGCAATGGCAACCCCTGGAAAACTCCCCCCAGTTTTATTGCTGCACATGACATTGTATGGTATGGAATATCAATATCCCTTTGGCCAATTCCAATCAGGTGTCCCAGCTGTGTTCCCTCCCAGCCTCTTGTCCAGCCCCAGCCTATTTGCTGAGGGGGCAGACTGAGGAACAGGGAATGCCTTGACACTATGCAAGCACTGTTCAGCAATAGCTAAAACATCAGTGTGTCATCAAGACTGATCACAAATCCAAAACATAGCACCATACAAACTACTATGAAGAAAATAACTCCATCCCAGCCAGACACAGTACACATGCGAAAACAGTCCAACTGGCTCCACCTGCAGCTAGTGAAGGGCTCACTAGATTTCTTCACTTCAGCTCTTATCTTTGCATCATTCTCTCAAGTGTCCTGGCCTCCAAAGAGACAATTATTGCAGGGGTATCATTGTGTAAATGCAGATCTTCTGTACAGATCTGACACTACCCCTAAGCTAATAAACCTTCCTGCTTACTTGGGTTGCTAGAAAGCACAGAAGCTAGCACTGAAATAGTAAGCAAAAGCTATTGAGCAACTGTTGAGCTTAATTTAATAACTCCTGCATTGCTTATCTCTGAAACATACCCTACAACAGCCTGTTACTTTGCCATGGTGCTAAAAATCAACAGATTTTGTGCATTTATTCCACAGGGGGGTGAAGCTAAACTTCTTCAGTACCTGTAGTGCCAGGAAATCAAGCCTGACTCAGCA